CCCGCATCGAAATGCGTCACTAAGGCGCTAGGGGCCAAGGACTTTGACACGCTCCACCTGTTGCGACACGCTCCGCCCACCGCTCGATATCTTGTCTGCGTCGCAATGTTGATCTGCTATGCTCTCTCTTCTCGGACTTCTCTACCGCTCTCCGCGCTCACATTATCTCTCATCTCCCTGCCGGCCTTTTGAACTTCTCCGCAGCGTAGAGCAAAAGGCTCGTATTTCCTGTGTATTTCACGATTTTTTTCCTTTTTTCTCCACTGGCGGTCCACCTCCCACCCCTACTTTCACATTTGAGTAGAATTACCTCATCATTTAATCCTGAATCTTGCCTTTAAGCGTTAAAGTATAGACCCGTGATTTCGCTGTCAGGTAGTAATTGCTGCACTTGTACTGCGGAGGAAAAGATCAAGTCACTTTGTTTGTGACTTTGTGAAAAGCCAGAGGCGCGTGCTGAATGCGGGCAGTTTAAGCAATCAACTTTTTTTCCGAGATCGCGCTCAGATTTGTCCCTGTACGCATGCTGTCGCACGGGCCCATGATGGTTGCGTTAAATCGTAGTGGAAATGCGATATTTGAGACGGGACATACAATTCTGATGCACCAATGTGAGCTCATTTTCCCAGAGATAATGACAGCGTTGTACACCGCTCAAGCTTTACTTTCGGTAAAAGGATCTCTGTCTGGCCATGCACCACCTCTAGAGTGGAAAAGTTGTGTCCATATACGGCGGAAAACATCCAGACTTAATCAGTCAGCTGCCTCTATACTTATTTACAAATGCTCGCGCTCATAAATTTTATCAGCGACGTCGACGAAAAGCGGCTATTAGCAGTAGTACTGGTGAAGTCTGAGGGCTGATGTGTACCGTTTCAATTTACGTGTTTTTTTTTTTCGGTGCACGATAGCAATGGTACGTGGCTGAAACCCTGCTCGTGATGTCGGACAGTTAAAGCACGGTCGCATGTATGGTTTCCGAGTCTTCCATACAAGGGCGCACAGAATTCATCAGTAATTGATCAAAGGTCACAATTAAGAATCCAAAAAAAAAAAAAAGAACAAAAAAAAAAAAAAAAAGAATCATAGTGTCAAGCTCAGATCTTGTCCTCTTCACTTCCGGATCCCTAATCAAGATGTCGATGCACATCATGTTGGTGTTGGTTAAGCTCCACTTGCGAATCGTGGCTATACTCAAGGTTAAAGCGAGAAATTACGATAAAATTTCTGTGCAGCATGGAAGAACGAGCAGCACTTCAAGCAGTAGCTAGAGCCCAAAGGAATCGAGATGTGGCCTTTTTGTGACTAAAGGTGCGCTCGTTGCAGCGCCCTGGGGCTGCCAATCCTTTCTGAGCTCCGCCTCCGCCTGTGCTCCGCCCCTCAGCAGATCGCTGTTCGATTATCATTCTGATAAGGTATGCCACTTCGAGCGCGTATCCAATTTTTTTCTCATGGAATGCTATATCAATCAAGGTATGATCTCTGGTGGTATGATGGCAGCTATGGTTTAACGAGTGCCGACGACCTCTTAGTTGGTTGCCAACTCGTCCATTATCGGAGGTCAACGGGCAGAGGAAGTGGTCCCATTTTGCGCGTTTTTGACGGATTTCTTTGCTTTTTTCGCTACTAGGGCATTATTCAGCATCTTCACTTCCACTATGAGCACAACAGAATCCTATCGCAATCTCTCGCTTTAAAAGCCTCACCTATCGCACTGTGCCTGAGCAAGATTAAAGCAAAGAAAAAAACAGACGGACGCAAAGGTAGATGAACCCCAACTGGTCTAAACGAGTTAGGATAGACTGCTTGGCATGCCCAGTGGATTTGTTAGATGTGTCACGTATGCTCCTTCACTTAGAACAGCGGTGATTTCGTGCATGTAATCAACTCATACCTCGAGCTGTAGGGCTAAACAATGTACAAATCGATTTTGACGCACTTTGGACACCTAGACACGTCCGGTACCAGGTCGCTCTCCGACTTCGAACGTATGGAGGGAAATGGGTTGGATTAGATTTGATGTGATATCCGACTTACAAACCATCAGTAGGCTAGCGGCTCTATATTCAACTACCTATCTTGGTCAACTTTTGATATACTAGCGGTGAATACGGTTTAAGGAAGTCTTGCAAGTTTTTCTTTCTCCTGTAACTTAGTGAGGACAGTGTAGAAAATGGCAACGATAGTACTACAGGGAGTGGCCAAAAAAAGAGACACTTTGCCTATGGCGCACATCATCGAACTTTTTGTCGCACAGGGCGCCGATGTTAATGAGAGTTTTATGGCGGAATATTCCTAAGATGTTCCCACGTAAGCAGAAGTAGGCCCTTTTTCACTGCCTCCACCGTCTTCAAAATATGACGTCATCTGTCGTCACCGTCGAGCTCAACGAGGCTTGCTGTAATCGCTCCGGCCTGAAGCAGATGGTGAAATAACTTCTAGGAGACACTAGCTGTTACTGTGCAAGACCGCTTTTAACCAGCGTTTCGGGGAGGTCGTAATGGCCTATGGTACATCGACGACCTCGTTGAGCTCGTACCGTGAACCATGTTTCCGTGGGAAAATCTTGATGGGCCGGGTGCAGCAAGCCCCAACTAGGGGAGGGATCCCCAACCTTGGGGACATATCCCCAACCTTGGGGATATATCCCCAACCTTGGGGACATATCCCCAACGTTGGGGATCCATCCCCAAGGTTGGGGATCCATCCCCTCGTTGGGGAGAGGGAGGGATCCCCAACCTTGGGGATATATCCCCAACCTTGGGGATATATCCCCAACCTTGGGGATATATCCCCTACTTCGTCGCAAGACCCATCGTTTTTCGGTGGCTCCTGTGACGCAACCGTGCGGGACGGTCACTGCCGTCGACCCTCTGCGTCTCTGCAGGCAGGGGATACATCCCCCTAGTCGAGACTAGGGGGATTCGTCCCCTCACTTGGCGACGCGGAGAATTGAAGGCAGTTTCGGGTTTCTTCACCCTCTATTTCGCTTCGTTATTCGCATTTCTTTTTTCGCCATTACCTTGCCTTTGTTCATTCGCTGTTTTCTAAGCACTGTTCACAGTTTTAAAATTATCGAATATTCAAATTTGCGAAAAGAATCAGATACATATCAACATTAACCCTTTCGGCCCTGGCGGTGGCAATTGCCACCACCAAATTCAAACGCTTGCATTTCCGCTGAAACAGCATAGTTTTTCTAATTCTGCTAGAGTTTGCTTCAGTCAACCTTCCCCTTCCTAATTATGAGCTTAACCGGCCATTTCATTGTTTATTGCTGTTAGTATTACAAGTATTTGTGTACAAGTGCAACAATGAATGGGCGCTGACCCCCGCAACCGGCCAAGTAAGTGTGACTTTTTCTTAAAATACTTGAAGTAGATCCATTCCTAAATCAAAATTATGGGTTATAATGTTATGCAAGATTATAAACTTTTTCGGCATAACTATGAAATTTCGAATTGTTTCGACATAAGCTTAAAAACTAAGAAGGTGGGCCAATTTTCAAAGCTTCTTAGTTTCTTTGTTTGTGATCGAATAGCTTCACGCAATGTGCCTCGGGGGGGACCAGTCGCCGCGCGCGGCCGTGCGGCAACAGGAAATTCGTGAGCCAGGGGGAGTGTAGCCAATTCAGGGGGGTTGGGGGTGAGGGCAGTCACATGACATGCGTGAGAAGCTGGAATGTTCCGTGAGAAGCCGGAATGTTCGAATTTCCTGTTGCCGCACGGCCGCGCGCGGCGACTGGCCCCCCTCGAGTCACATAGCGCCCTCGAACATTAGCCATGAATGATACGATATATGCTCACAAGTAAAACAATAGCTAGAAGTAAAATTTCTCCACGGGGAAAAATTCAGGTCCGAAAACAGCGAATGAACAAAGGCAAGGTAATGGCGAAAAAAGAAATGCGAATAACGAAGCGAAATAGAGGGTGAAGAAACCCGAAACTGCCTTCAATTCTCCGCGTCGCCAAGTGAGGGGACGAATCCCCCTAGTCTCGACTAGGGGGATGTATCCCCTGCCTGCAGAGACGCAGAGGGTCGACGGCAGTGACCGTCCCGCACGGTTGCGTCACAGGAGCCACCGAAAAACGATGGGTCTTGCGACGAAGTAGGGGATATATCCCCAAGGTTGGGGATATGTCCCCAAGGTTGGGGATATATCCCCAAGGTTGGGGATATATCCCCAAGGTTGGGGATATATCCCCAAGGTTGGGGATATATCCCCAAGGTTGGGGATATATCCCCAAGGTTGGGGAGGGATCCCCAAGGTTGGGGATATATCCCCAAGGTTGGGGATATATCCCCAAGGTTGGGGATATATCCCCAAGGTTGGGGATGTGTCCCCAAGGTTGGGGATATGTCCCCAAGGTTGGGGATCCCTCCCCTAGTTGGGGCTTGCTGCACCCGGCCCTGATGTAGTCGGTGCAGAAAGGCTGTCACGTGAACATTTAGATAGATTAGAGTGTGCTCTTTAATACTAAGTTGGGTTCAGTCGATTTGATTCTAGCAAAGTGTGATTAATGCTGGCTGAACTTTGAAGTGAAGTGTCTCTTTTTTTGGCACCACCCCTGTATCCGTGGCATTACGCCGAGAGAGCCAATGGGAAATTTGCCTGGCACAACCTTGAGCAAAAAAGACACCTCGCCAACTAATGATTATGAGAATTTGAGGTGCTTTTGGAAAGATCATGCACGTGCAACAGCTAATAGCGACTGCTAAGGTTAAAGTATGAATAGTGGAAGAAAAAAAGAACAGAACGAGCAAATGGTTGCAGTGAGAGAGGACATTCCAAACTATTGCGAAAATCTTCAAATTCGCTACAATGTAATCTGAAACATTTTTCAATGCAAAAAACCCAGACAACAGAAATAGGCAGGTTAGCATAGCGCACAGGTCGCTCCGATGTAACCGAATCTCATCCTCAGAAACAAAGGGTTCGGTATGGATTGGTACTGCATAAAATTAAACCAACAAGTATTCACAAAACGAAAGACTATCTCTCAACCTAAAATAACTCTTGGGATATCTGCACTGATGGATTGCTTTGTTTCAATCTTGAACACACCCTTCTTCTCCACAAAATCTGTGAATGTTGGAATATCACCACCAACACCGAAATAGAAAACTTTTGCAGCAACCCATCTGAAACAAACGGATTGAGTAATTGTGAGAATAAAGAAAAGAGCAACGCATCCAGTATGGTGCAAAGAAAAAAGAAAATAAAACTGAAATGCTCGGAGAGATAAGTTGTTCTTTACATCACACCGCTTGATGAAAGTGCATAGTCGAAAGCATCGTGCAGAGCCTCATAGTCCTCCGGATTATAAATCGTTTCAGAAGTCAATATCAGGTCAAAACTGGAACGGCTAGTTTGATTTCTTCTGAATAAAAGTAGTAAACATAACAAAGTTAATATGTTCTCGATGCACTTCAGCTGAAAATTCATCAAAAGTTATCAAAAAAAATCATCCAAAGAATCAAAACTAGAGGAAGGTGCAAAATGGGTTTATAAACGGTAAGAAATAAAATATCCAATATCAATATCCACTACTATTAAGAGAAGTGAAAGTCATCTTGAATCTTTTCAACCTGATATGAAGTTTGCTATGTGGAGGTTCTTCTATTTGTGCATATAGGAAATGAGGCAAAAAAAAACGAAAGCTTCAGGAATTGAGGGCTAACACGCTTTAAAGAAAATCATTTCTGTGTCTAAATAGAAGCCTCTAGCAATGTATTAGGTCATCTCATTCAAACATGTCCACGGTTTTATTCGAATAAAATGAACAGCAGGAAAGATAAAAAGCTAATACTTTGGTGTTGAGTCAAGCAGATCTTGCCGTTGTTAATGACCCGATCTCACCGTCTAGAAAACACTGGATACCGCGGAGGTCCGCCCACAATGGGCGGAGGCGCGCTCTGAAGTGTACAGCGTTTTCTACAAGTCCTCATAATTCGGGCCGGAGAAGTCTTAGTGAGCCGGAAAAAGGTGGATAGAGGTGGGTGGAGGAGTGGAGGCCAACTGTCATCGGTGGGCGGGGCATGACCAAAGTGGGCGGAGTTTGCGACGAAAATTCATAACTCGGCTCCAAGAAGTCCGGAGGACCGGGAAAAAGGTGGATAGAGGTGGGTGGAAGGAGTGGAGCCCAACTGCTGTTGGTGGGCGGAGTTCTCCACAAAACTTTGTGACTCGGCTGCAAGAAGTCCTGGAGACCGGGAGAGAAGTGGGCGAAGGAAAGGAAGTGAATTTCTAATGGTGTGCGGAGGATACACCAAAAAAGCAGGATTCGCCGCCAAAATTATAAATCGGCTCAGAGATAGTTCAGATCGGGTAAAAAGTGGGAAGAGGTTGGCGAGGAAGAAAAAGATAGGTGGGACATGCAAAGAAATAGGCGGAGTTTACCACGAGGTTCATAAATCGGTCCGGAGGCAGTCCGAGGCGGGAAAAACGGACAATTGGTGGAGGAGGGAAGGTCAAAAGCCATCGGTGGATGAAGCATGGGGCAATCGGATAGAATTCAGCTTGAAAGTCAAATATTCGAAGTGTATTGGGCCAAATTCGAAAATTCACGCCGCACCATCCATATCGCCGCAGAACTGTGCTGTGCGCGCAATGCGTGCGGCGCCAACTGGGAATATGAAATACGCTAGATGAAAACGTTCCCAAGAAGGATTTTCGCAATCTGCTTCGTCATTAAAATACAGTTACTATTTTTTCCTTGGAGCAGAGGTTGTTCTTTTTAAGAAAAAACTCAGCCACAGTCCACATCTCGAAGTCTGATTGGGCGTGTCACCGGAAATGACGTGGCAGCCACCGCACTTGATAGAAGTTGTGTGGATAAGCTGCTTCCAACATACTCCGCTGATATCAGCAAAGCATGCTGGAAGCAGCTTATCCGCGCAACTTCTATCAAGTGCGGTGGCTGCCACGTCATTTCCGGTGACACGCCCAATCAGACTTCGAGATATGGACTGTAACGCTCATGTTTTCATCCGCAAACCACGTAACCAACGTACCACCGAGGTTTGACGGTTGACTGGAAGTCCGTCCACGGACCGCTCACAAGACTATATTTAGACTCCTCCACACCATTTAAGTCGCAAGTTTTCCTTTGTGAAACATTGTATCACACAATCGTTCTGAAATGATAACGAAATATTCGAAGAGCACCAGAAGGTTGAAATACAATGCAATATTACTCACGAAGTCGTGAAGAGTGACATGAGTTGCGCCACGTAACGCACATAAAATAGCAGGCAAGCCGGCACCACAACCGAGCTGAACAAAGAAATACTCTCAGGTAGCAAAAAAATTGACATCACACCAAAAACAGCAAGCACTTTTTACGCACATTCTCGCAAAACTGGCTGGAAGAGAGG